GGCCAATCAGCGATACATGTGTGCAATATGCGATGTGTGCAATCGGAGCCCTCCCGAATAACCTAACCTAACCTCTATGAATATATTTTGCCTTTTTCAAATAAATAATTTGTTTCATTGTTTGTATACATTGTAACCAAATAATATATTATTTAATGGAAAGATATTACTTCAAATAATAATGTTATTTCTGTCAAGCAATAGAAATTTCTCGAATGAAATAACAAAATTTTTATTTAAACAAATAATATTTCGTACAAGCATATGTTGTTTCAATAAAACAAATATTAGTCAAATAAATAGGAATACTAAATCGAAAGAAACCTTTTTCTCTATGTGCCTCAAGCAGGAAGAGCTCCGTGTGAAACAAGAGAAGAGTCCCAGGCGAGAAGACGCCTCTGTCTATCTCATTCGTTTTTTATCATCATGTACTTAAATACTACTGAACTATATATACACTGGAATGGGCATCTTCGCTATGAAGCATAGGGTGCGTTCCGTTTCTCGCATGATGCGCATAATGCATCGTTTATCCTTGTTGCTCACCAAATGTTAAACAAGGACAATGGATGCATCATGCGCATCATGCGCGATACGGAACGCACCTATAGAAAATCGTGGCCACAATTGATCAGTCGCCATTTTGGTTGGGACGATATTTGAGTGAATCAGAAGCTTTCAGGTGCTCATGCGCACTTACGTTTAGTGTTCATTAGTGAGACTAGAGGTTTGTTCGCGTCGCATGCTCCAACATGTTCCAACATACTCCTACCATAGCTCCTACTCACTCTATCAAGCGCGTTGGAGTGAATAGGAGCTATGGTAGGAGCATATTGGAATATATTGGAGCATGCAACGCGAACAAACCCTAGAGCACTAGAAACGTAGGTATTCGCGTCCACCATTTTTATTCCTTTTTCTACTCATTGCTCTATCCCCATTTCATCAATAGGTGCATCCAGAAGCACGACCGCTCATTGAGCGCTCATTGAGCTCTTGTATCTGTTTGGTCTATATTTTTCGATCTAATGGAATATGCCAATCAGATGCAAGAGCTCACCGAGCGCTCAGTGAGCGGTCGTGCTTCTGGATGCACCCATTGGCTGCGTTCAGAAGATTCAGCAGTTTTGCAATCGTTTTATGATTCGTCGCGCTAATTGGATTATACTTTTAGATTTAAAGGAATAGTCCTATCTCAGCGAAGAATCACAAAACGGTTGCAAAACTGTTGGGTCTGCTGAACGCAGCCAATGGGTGCATTCAGTGGGAGGATCCCGTTTGCCTACAGTTCTGATTGTACACAGCACTCATATCAACTGGTGCCTAGTAATTTTTCACTGTTTTGTCAATGAGATTATTTTATTTTTAAATTGGCCAATCAGCGATACATGTGTGCAATATGCGATGTGTGCAATCGGAGCCCTCCCGCATTCAATACTACAACCGCTCATTGAACGCTCAGTGAACGATTGTAGTACTGAATGCACCTACTGAACCAGTGACTGTGACGGGTTATGGTCATTACAGGTTATGATTTGTATTTGCTGCTTGAAATTTTGTAGCTCCTTTCATTCCTACAAGGTTTCCAACAGCTTAGAAGGTATAACCTATAACAATTAACCGTAACGACGATAATCTTCTCAGCTCAGCGGCGAAGTGCGGAAAGCAGTAAAAATGGCGGCGAAGTGCGGATATGTGAATACCATCGACATCTAGAATGGACCGCTGATGGCAATGGTGGGGGTAGAAAGACGATTAGAGTGAGAGGCAGG